GGAGAAATTGGTTAATTAAATGCAACCTACTGGACGGAAGGTCTCAATGTCTAACTCGGCTTTCCTCCTCAGCTCCACTGCCTCCTCATATTTGATTTTGATTGCCTCCAGTTGAACAGCTGTGGAGTCCTTCGCAGCCAAGGAAAAGTCCTAAAAACAAAGAGGCCAGAAGTAATTTGGTTGCCTTTCAGATTAGGAGGTTTGTGCAAATTGTAGATCAGCCACTTTTGCATTATCATTTTCTATTTGAACTTATTTCCTGTGTGAGTGTGTGTGTTTGCGTGTGTGTGTTCAAATGTAAAATCAAGCCATCTCATCTGTGTATAAATCATAGCTGAAGACAGCTGTGCTCCAGGACACCTTAACACGCGGAGGCACCTCTCTATTTGCCTGCCAGAAATAAGCCTGTTACCAGGTTAGCAACCTTGAAAACACCAAGTTGACGTCTTGTGTTGTTGCTTGGATGGATCCAATACAGCTCAGTGAGGTGTAAAACCTCGCCGGAAACAAAAAATGCAGTCCTTATGGTCTACTAAGCATGTGAAATGTAAAAAAAGGAATGGAGGCGATGCGCGGCTTGGAGAATTCTGTCTCACCCGCTGAACTCTCATCTGGTCAGCAATCTTTTTCAGCTCCCTCAGCTGTTCCTCGTATAGCAGGCGCAGACCTGATGGATTCTCAAAGCGGTTCTGGTACGCCTCGATCTCAGATTCCAAAAGCCTGTTCTGCTGCTCAAGTGATCGGACCTGTACAGGAACATATCTTTTGTGATTTAAAGTGTATCTAACCAGACACTGATATGTTTCCTGATCATTTGCATAGGTATTGATCGGTACTGATAGAAGAAGTCAAATGTGGTTGGTTTGAAGGCCGCTTTACCTTGTCAATGTATACAGCCAGTCTGTCATTGAGAACAATCATCTCCTGTTTTTCAGTTGTACGTGTGCTGAGGAACTCTTGGTTCTCAGCTGCAGCAACATCCAGATCAATAGCAGGTTCTCCAGTAGGCCCAACACACACCATGGCTCCTGCACTCACACTGAAGTCACCCATGAGCAAAATACATCACATTTACTGAAAGAGTAATATCATGAGAGAATGTCTTGAAACAGAGCAAAAGGTAAAAAATGTTTATAACGGCAAATAATAATCCTACTATGTTACTCATTACCCCTACATCACTCCATCTGTAGTCACTGCAGTTGACAGTGCTTACCCTGCCCCACCAATGCGAGTCCTGCGTGCGGCCGAGACGTTCCTCCGTCCCGCTGACTCCACACGCATGCTCCCGGCCCCTGATCTGCAGGAGTAGCCGGCGGAGGCATGACGGGAGTCTCTCCTGGTGGGGGATGGGCTGGACACCCTGACCTGGTAGGACGAGCTGCTGCTGTCCTCAAAGTGACGGCGGTAGGACGAGATCCTGTCCTGGCTGCGGCTCATGGTTGGGTTTTTCCTGTGGTTCTCTGAAGGGGGATGGAGGAAATCCTCAAAATACTCAAGCAAGGCCTGTCTGTGGTACTCTGCAGTACTGCTTTTCAACCTTGTTTGCACTCTCCGATTGTCAACCCAGGCTCTGGTTTTATACCTCCCATTTCTAGCCAAACCCTGGCTTTGTAATGGACAGCCCAATTCATGTCGTCACCTGTGGAATCTCGAACCTCCGCACCAACTCAGGCTTGACCTGCTGCTCAGATATCTGCCAGCAGCTTGTGAGGAGCAGAGCTTAGTGGCTGACCTCATCACCCATTAGTCTTTCTGTAAAACACAGAGTCTGAACACGTATCAGCCTCCCTTTTATCAGATAGATTTTGCCAGGATTATGGTACATCCACCACCTCAGTGTCTACCCCAGACCTGGGCAGCAGGCAGGCAGGGTCCGGCAGCAGCCAGTAGGTAGAGCAGTGATGTGATGTGCTCTGATGGGACGAGGGACTTTAATTGAACGCTGAGCCGAAGCTGGAGGGTGACCTGATGAGGCCGCGGCTGCAGAGGAACAAAGAGCCCCAGCTACATTTGACATAAATTAGTACTTATTCCTCTGATCTGTTTCCAACATATTAAAACCAAAGTAATCAGAAAAAAAAGAAAATGAAATTAACTTATAGGCTACTTCTGAGGGAAAATAAGGAGGAAGAAGAAAAGGCAGGGGGGCGGGGTTGAAGTCTGGAGTTTACGATTGACATGGCACGGTGATATGAGGGGAGAAACAGTCACTGTTCAGGGGGTTCTTTCCCAACACCCCAAAATGATTATTTGTATATTAATCAGAGATGGCAAAAGTACACACATCCTTTACTCAAGTACAGATACTTGTGTTTAAAAATACTCTGGTAAAAGTAGAAGTACTGACTTATTTACTCAAGTAAAAGTAAAGAAGTATGGGCTTTGAAATACGTAAGTAAAAAGTACCCATAGCTAGCAGCTGTTTTTAAGAGTACCTGACCTCCCTTTATATTAATAGAACAATAATGTCATTGTTAGCTAATGAATGTTTCCATGCTGAACAACGGCAACGTTTTCATTGGTCCCTTTTCTTTAGAGAAGACCAGGAAATGATGGATACACGGATCGTGTTCAAATCAATAGGCGCGCAATGACTCTAAATAATAATAATCACGCCACCAAACACACATTCAAACTAAAGTAACCAGCCTGTTTGGAAAATGTAAGAAGTAGAGAAAGTACAGGTATTTGTGTTAAAAATGTAAGAAGTCAAAGTAAAAAGTCGTCAGAAAAATAAGTAGTGGAGTAAAGTACTGATACCAGAAAAATGTACTTAAGTACAGTAACAAAGTATTTGTACTCCACTACTTCCCACCTCTGATATTAATAACTAACCCTCTTACATTGAAGACAAAGAATCTAAATAAAATAAAATACAGAGACGGTTTTTGATGTATTGAATCACAATATCAGTTTATTCAATATCAAACTTTCATACAATGTCTGCAAGTCTCATTTGAACAGAAACTCCTAATTTTAAACACAAGTTGTGGACCTGCACAAGTATGAGGCGGTTTTCTTCTGATGAACAGGATAAAGAGACTTGTATTATACTGCACAATTTTTGTGAGTATAAACAGATGTTTTTTATTGCTGTTATAAGCATAATTATTCTCTACATTTTGACCCTAGATCTTGCAGCAGTGTGGAATCAGTCCCCTGAGCAATCCATCTCTACTAAGCTGCTATTTTCATGTTGAAATCAAATAACAGCACCAAAATATTGTATTTTCTATTACCAACTGTATGAAGCCTCACTCAAAATGCTAACACAATTTGACCTCCTACGTGTTTTTTGTATTGTATTCAGCTAAAAACAGCTAAGGAAAACCTAAAATAGAGATGGAAATCCTTTGTTTCAGAGTTATTGATTTCACTTAGTCTTTACAATTAAATATAAATATGAACAATAATGTGGGGGTTTCCTTGGCTGCTTGGAGGATACTGTTTGCTATAAACAGAAATGGCATTCACACATATTTACTCATGCATCATAAAAGTCAATAATACTTCAGTCTCCTATGTGACATGATTCAGAATCAACAGCTAGGTTCTAAGTTTTGTAAGGCACTTGGATAAATTATAAATCCTGATTAAACTCATCTCTGGAATGTCATTTGTGTGGTCTGTATGGACTTTCAGATCAAGTCATAAAAGGGAAAGTTAAAAGAGAACAAAGTCCATGGCCGTGGTCGACTTACAGAGGCATTCTTCTCAGTTGAAAACAACCGCATTCATTATCATGGATGACGGAGGAACCTGTTAATGGTCCCTGGAGGGTGGGTGGCAAATTCATACTGGGACACAGTGGATATTAGACATGGCCCTTCAACACCGTAGATCATCTTAGTCCCAACGGCTGTCACCTCAGCCGGCCACCCTATGCTTATTTATAGAAGAAATATATTCAGACAAATGTTTTCTCATGTCCTTTTTAATAGAACCGACGGCCATTGTCCATAAATTGCAATGGTGGGATGCAGCTAAGGGAAATGACTCAAGTATTGTATTAAAATAACACTTTGAGCTACTTTACTTGGGCAATTTCTTCCACATTATACTTCTACTCCACTACATGTTAAAGGTAAATATGATACCTTTTACTCTATTATATTTATTTGGCAACTTAAGTTACTTTGAATTTTTTGATTATTAACACATTCTAATAACTTATTATACAAAGTGTTTATTATTGATTGAGCTACCCATCAATCAATTCATACAATAAATAATACAAATTACATACACTTTTACCAGCTGCAATAATGAAATGATAAACACATTCAAGGAACCATAACTGTAATCCAGGAATATATAATGTATATGATTCTGGAATGGGCTACTATGTAGAATGAGTACTATACTTTTTGCCCTTGAAGTATGTTTTCAGTACTATTTCTGTACTATAAAAATGGAATGAAGTTAGATATTGAATGCAAGACTTTTACACAGTCGTATTGCTACTTGTACTTAAAGGGGCCCTATTATGCACATTTTTAGGTTCATATTTGTATTTTTTGTCTCTACTGTGACATGTTTACATGCTTTAATGTTCAAGAAGCTCTTAATTTCTCTCATACTGCCTGTGCTGCAGCACCTCTTTTCACCCTCTGTCTGAAACCAGAGCCCAGTCTGCTCTGATTGGTTAGCTGGTCGGCTCTGTTGCGATTGGTCAGCAGCTCAATGTGTGTGAAATGTCCGGCCCCTTAGCATATCACGTACAATGTGTTGGAGCGCTAGCCAATAGGAGCGCCAGTGTTGCGTAGTGATGTCACTATGTTGGTGGAGTAAACAAAGGACTACAATGGAGGCGTTTCAGGCATGGGGGGAGTTTGTGGGAGAGAAACTCCCTCAGGAGAGAACTTTGTGATGTTAGCCTTGGCAGACCATTTACATGCACAAAAATCCATTTAACACACTACAGAAAAGGGAAAAGCCCCCCTTCCTCCATTTATAAATTGTAAAAAATTAAATACAAAACACACTCTGAATATCAGTGTTAATCAAAAATGATAATAGTATTTATTGAATGAGTTTGGCAACAACTGCAGATGCATCTATGACAAACAAAATATTTAATAATTACAACACATGATCCGAAATGCTGAACTATCTGTATTATGAGATGGATGGCTTCATTGTATTTTACAATCATACACAGTGGAGTAGTCATTTGCATAGTCTGGAAACAGAATCTCTATTCATCGTATATTCATGATTGTAGTATGGTTTACAACAATCACTGGTGATATATGTGTCTATTTAAAAGTTGTTATCAGTTTTAAAAGATAAAGAAATTAATGTACAAGTAACTTCAAGTGACATTGCAGTATTTTTTAATACAATCAGCAGCAGAGAAGTGTTCTGGGCCCTCCTATTTCAGTCTTTGGGATTCACAGACAAGATTTTCTTTTTAGAACTGGCTCTTAAAACAACAGAAAAAATAAGGAACCTTTTAAAACCCCTCCTTGTTACGCACTCTCACTTGATCTTGAGTGAAGGCTTTAAATATATTTATTTTTCTTTATCCTCAGATCAGTCCTGCTGCTCATTTTTTGACCAGTCTTGCCATCCACCCAGGTAATTATGAACACTGAAAGGGAGAGAAAAGGGAAGAAAGTGAATGAAATGTTGCATAAACACAGGTGACTCAAAAAGAAAACTGCACTAGTTTTACTTTTCCTGGATCAACATTGTATTATGCTGCATTTAAAGGAATATATTGTTAGCATTTTGAGCTAATTACCCTTTTTTCACTTCTTTACAGTCAGACACCGGCTGTGCCGAAACTATGAAAAGAGCATTGCATGACCTCATGCACAGATCAGTAACCTCAAGTTGGTGAGACTTATCACTGGCTCACTATGAAATGTCAGATATGAACTTCATAACATTTTACTGGTACACTAGCCTTTGCCTGTGATAAAAAAATTGTTTTAACAAGAAACAACAAACCTTATTTATTGTACATGGCTAGAATACTTTGGTCATTTATTGATTTAACGATGAGGTGAGAAGTAATTATTTTTGACAGATTTATGGCAGGGAAACATGTCTCACTCTTTGTATCCCAGGGAGGCGGCTGTGTCCAGGGCGTTTTTGCTCCTGATCCCTGCCAGACAGGTGAACACGATGTTATCTGTCTGCTGGGGCATTTCACCTCCGTACTTTTCATTGAACTCTTCTGCATCCAGCTGGAGGGCATTCCCCACCTGTGCCACTGCAAAATCAAACCAGCACAAACAAATGTAGTATTAGAAGTAGTATTTTAAATATATGTTATTAGGTAAAACCAAACTTGAATGGGTCTGGGAACAATTGTGAGTAAAATCAGAATGTCAACCATTAGGAACGTTTTTAAGTAGACTTCTAAACTGGGAATGTAGTATTGTCTTTCCATATTATGTTTCCTTAATTAAGGGCCTGCTATTATAAACTGAGACTGAGGAAACCAAGCAGCTACAACAGAGCCCTGGGTGTGGGTGCTGATGTATAAATGTTTTGTGTGATGATTTAGGACATTTTTAATGACCCCTGATAACATACTAGTAACACAGTGGTTCTCAACCTAGGGGATGGGACTCCCAAGGGGGAGTACACAGCACTGCACACTGAAATGTAGAGTCTGTATTTAACCCATCCATGTATTAGGAGGAGTGGAAAGCTACAGCGTCCACAGAGTAGTGACAGGGTGTGGTGCCTTGCTCAACGACGAGGTGAACTCGCAAAGTAACAGTGCACACTCCATAATACTTGGTCCGTTCTGAGACTTGAAGTTATTGTTATAATTTGTGCTTGGATGTGGGTCTTAGAATAATCATATACCAACTAATTTAACCACTTGCCAGCATAAAGTGCATCTATTTATGCACACAGATTATGAGCTATCACTGCGTTTTGAAGTGTGGGGACGCCACCTGGAGGAGTAGGGATCTGACGTTATATTCATGCCAACCTAACACACATTTTCTGATTATTTTAGGAAGTGTAACACTCACGGGGGACGTTAATTGACCCGGGGATGGAGCCATACTCCCTGAGCTCCCATGGCTCCCTCACATCTATTACCACAGCCTTCCTGCCAGACAGGAGCTGCTTCAGCTGCTCATAACTCACATCTGTGCTCGGTGGCGCTGAACTGAACCCGCGGAGCAGCAACTCTGTGTCTGAAAGCAAAACCAGAGGTGGAAGAAGCACTATAGTGAAAGAGGCAATATCAACTTTTGAAAATACTCTTACAAGTAAAAGTCCTGCTTCAAAGTCCTACAAGTACAAAAGTGTTGATATCAAAATATGTACTTAAATTACCAAAACTAAAAGTACCTAGTATCTTAACCTTACATTATATTGCAATGTTTATTAATTGATTTATGTTTTGTAAATAATGACTGCATCTGTTAAGTAACTAACTTCCAAAACGTAGTTGAGTAATACGTTTAAAGTAGTATTAAATGAAAAGGCTCAGTTAAATGCAAGTACCTCCAAAATGAACTTTAGAATAGTATGAGTAAATGTACTTCATAACATTGCACCATTGAGCAAAACAGACAGCATACGCATACCATACACATGAACATTTTCATAACATTATAGTGAGTCACGAGCCAACCAGCTGACATTTAAATGGACAGGAGCCTAGACATGGGAGAACTTGTTAGGAAATAGTACACCGTTAATGTAGTAATAATAATAATAATATAATGTAAAGCTCACGTTTGCAATCGTGGTGGGTGTTGACAAGGCTGGACACAGAGCTTCGTCCTCCAGGCAGGACGGTACTGTTCCATAACAGCTTCGGAACAACTGCTGCAAACCTCCAACACCTTCTGAGAGCCATGAGTGAACAGTTACACCCTGGCTTACACTTTATATTAACACTTCGTCAACATAAAACCCTAATTACGCAATTATACAGCGAGCTACAGCTACTAAAATTCTAACTGCTCACCCTGCCAACAAGGACATGCGCATGCGCATGCGCAGAAGTACGGATACGGATCACTTCAAGGTCTAAAATACCCTCTCCCAGAGTAAACGGCTCTGCCCTCTCCTAACCTGCTCTTATCAAAGTTATTGTACCTAATATATCAAAGGTCAAACTATTACCAACACACGTCAGTGCTATGTTCTCTAAGGGGCAATAACTTTTGCACCAAAGTTTGATCGAAGAGATAATATAAGATATATTAAATAATGCACATGGTCGTAGGAAATCCGGCAGAGCTCACTCCACATAGGTCCATTTATTTAATATCAAGAGTTATCATAATACTTCCATCATTGCATATGCCGCTCTTAGGTGCATGCATGGCTTTTTTTCTGAACACTAATTTAACAATGAGTTTTGAAGATACCACTAATTTCACATCAAATAAACAGAAATACTTGACATAATAATTCAGTTTGCACTTATAGTACGACACATAAGGACACCAAGACCGGTGTCTTTAAATAGAACATACGAACAAACCAATCCCCATAGTTCCATGGTTTTAAAACGTTGGAAAGGCTCCTGAATGCATCAGAAACTGGTACGCTTTGCCTTTTGCTAAGACATTTCCCATTGAACGTGAATGCAGCATTAGGCCAAGCTGAGTTGCCGTAGTGCGTCACATGTTGACTAGGACTGCCAGTTGATGCAACCGAAAGCTTAAACAGTTTTAGAGAGTCAAAGGCCAAAACGAACAATTATTAAGAAAATGATGCTGTTATTATCGGTACTCTGTAGTTTGCACTGAAATGTCTTAACATCTCCGTTTATTGTTGGATAAAACACACGTGTTAATGTTGTATTTATTCTGACAAGCTAATGTAGCTAGCCTGTTTGCTAGCCAGGAAGAGTTGACATCTCACTGTTGGCTTCAGGTTAGCTAACACAGTCAACATAGGAGCTAATATTAAGAGGTGAGTTCATACAGCTTTGCCAAATACAACTGTGGGGAAGTTAGTTATTTATTGTTTCAATGTAGGTCCTCTCATGCTCATCTACATTGGACTATCGAGACTGCTTGGGGCTTCATAACCAGACACTACTATGTAACGTTTGTTATCTCTTAACATGGTATCATATTTTATTTGGCTAGCTATATTTATTCTTAGTGACGTACTATGAACTATTTGGACAGTTGCATATTTAGTTGTTTTGGCTTTAGTAAACAATGGTTTTGAAATAGTAATGTGGCTAGGGATAAGTGATTTTTGAGCTTTAAGGGTGCTTTGGGGTGCTACAATGTATTTAGGGATGACAGTGTATAAACAGTTTTAAACAGACTCGTCCTCCAACATTTGAGGACGATTTTTTTGGATATCTATCTTCGACGTATTACCTACTATATAATTATAAGGTCCAAACAGTGGAATATTCTTATCAGGCAAAGTCATCCAGTCCACCTAAGAAGTGTTTAACCAGTTAAATACCAAACTGAGGTTGTAAAACCCCTGAAACCAGCATGAATTAAAATGTCAGCAGTTAATCAACAAGGAAAATAGAAATATCTGTTGATGTCATTAGGAGGTAGAGCTAAGAAAGTCATTGGTTACATTGACATTTTATACATTTTATTTGAAATTCAGTTTCTTAAAAGTCAGGACTATGCATTAAAAGAGATCAGATTTAATCAGGTGCCAAGTAAATACCCTCAAAACAACACATTAGGTTGGCTTGCAACCACTGATTCTTTTTAGATCTACTGTGCCAAGTGCAAAAGGCAACCATAAACATGTTAATGTACATATCTTTTTGATTGCCCTCTAGCTAGCTTTCAATATATTGTGTGCTCCAATAAGTACAATTATCATGGCAGGTGTAGCCTTGTGCAAGTGTTGCTACATTCAAGTACTTGTTGAAACACATGTTAAGATAGTTTGTTTACTTAAAGTAACATCTATGTTTGCCCTTCATTTTTTTATTCAGATGCGGCTAAAGGACCCCTTCTCTTTGAAAGCCGCCGATATGACTAAGCGGACTAATAAACCGAGGAAACCTCGAGATGAGGAGTCATCAGATGAAGTCAGCGGTAAGTCACTGAAACAGCACAGGGCACCAGACTGTTGACATTGGGGCTGTATATTTACTTTTGTAAAAATGTTCACCAAGTTTATTAAAACATTTACTAAGTATATTAATCCCCTGCCCTTTACTAATTAAAGTATTTAAACACAGCATTGGTTTCAACTAAACTGCAATCGTTTAAAAAAAAAAAAAAATCAGTTTATTGTCTAGATAATATAATAATGATACATTTGTCCTACTTGAGCAGGACAACAATCTGTATGAATACCCATAATGGCATGTGTACCTTACAATGGATTTTATTAAGGTACTTGTCTTTCTGATTTTGTGGGGATGTCCCATCTCATGTTATTCATTGTAGGTGCTGTGCACATCGTCCCCCTTTCAAAACATAATCACTGAGAATTGTACAAATATTCCTAAAAGTTTTTTTTAAAGCTACATTTGAAAGTGTAAATGTGTCATTACAGCATATTTTTTTTTAAACCAGGGTTGACATGCCAGCATGTGAGTAAAGCAGTGGACCTGAGCTCAGTGAAGAAGTCGGTGCTCTCCAACGTGTGGGTGGTGTGCTCTGAGTGCCTAAAGGAGAGGACCATGATCGATGAAGAGCCAGCAGCATCCCATGACATCCTTGTGTGCTTAAAGTGTGGCTTCCAGGTAACAAATATTTGTAATTGTATTTTTCAATAGTAATCAGTGCAAACTAGGGCTGCACAATGACGTTGGTGTGTCATTGGTATCTCCAGATTAAGGCTTTAAAGTAATAAATATTAAGTCCACTATGACAGGATGACAAAATGTGCTTGTTGAACCAGACTGTTGCAGAAGTGCGTGCAAACACAAGTATGTCTGCTCCGTTGTTGACAGCTCAATGCACATTTTTAAATTATCCCTGTGGACAAAGATTAAATAGTTTTGCAACGTGTGAAATTTGCCAAATGTCCCTAGTGCTGCCTTTTAAAAAAAATGTTATAAAAAAATGGCATGCTGTACATTAACCTTAATGGAAGTAGTTTTCTTATTTTGTCTGAGAATATTATGATAAACTTGTTAACAAAGATTTTTATCTTTAAACAAAATAAAATGTTCTTTCTTACAGGGCTGTAACCAGTCTGGGGTCCAGCACTCTGAAAAGCACCACCAAGCTTTCAATCCGGAGTCTCACTGCATCACCATCAGCCTGAGCACGTGGAAGGCCTGGTGAGAAACCTCAAACTGCATTTATTGTCAACTTTATAAAAAAACAAGCCTATACACACTGCCAATGTGTGTAACCTGGCTATGACACACGTCAAGATGCCTCCAGTGGGTGGCTTTACATAAAAAAAAATGGCATTGTGTTTTCTATACATATTTCCAGACCTATATATCATTTACCATATTATATTTTATTGTGCTTGTGAATTGTTCTCCACTTGAGCCACATTCTGTACTCAAATAATAGTTCAATAGTTTCTTGAAGGTTTTTATTTCCCACAGAAACTTAAATTCCTGTTTGTCTCATTGTGTCAGGTGTTATGAATGTAATGAGGAGCTCTCCACTCACTGCAACAAGAAGGCTTTGGCTCAGACGCTGGACTTTTTACAAAAGCACTCCGTCAAGGCTACATCAGGTAATGTGTTCCTCAACACGGCAAAATCCTGGAGGTCTAGCCCTTTACTGATGAAAGCTTTGGTTACAGACAATGCATCTTCACTTCAGGGATGTAAACTAAAGTGTTTTTAATTTAAACAACCTTGTCAGTCAAAGTAGAAAACGAGTGGCCTCTGACACGGACAACCTGTAACGGTACTCATGTTGAGATTATTGAGATAATGGTACATCATTTTGTATAATATGTGTCTGCACTGCCTATACACCAGAGCACAATCATTGTCTAGCTGACTATGAATGGAATATGAATGAAAGGAATGGAAGGAATGGTAATAACTGGTCATATAGTTTCAAATGTTTTACTGTCAGTGATCCACCCATCTGACTGCAGTACACATGCTCCCCCTGGTGGTAGTGGTCATCTGAATCCTTGGATCTTACCTGTCATTCTCAGTATAGAGGCAGCTAACATGTGCGTTATGAGGGAATATTGCAGTGTGAACCCCCCGGTAATAGGGGTGTTATTTCTTATGAATGGATACTTCTCTTTATGCTGAGGGCTTGCAGTTTTTCTTTAATGCCTTCTTATGGGTATAAAATGAGCAACAGAACGCGGTTTATTGCTTCGGCTTTCACCTAAATGAAATTTGCATTGATGCATAACATAAACCTAGTTATAGGGAATTCAATTATAATAACTACGAAAAACAAGAAACTAAATATAGACTAGAAGAAATGTGCAAATAAAAGTAGGAAAAATATACTAAATATGTACAATATATGTGAAATAAAATGAAAGATGAATGGAAGAAAATTGCAATAGGAATATGATCAAATATGTCAAATATAATTGTGAGTTCCTAGTTGTAGTTTTGTCCACCATGTTAGCATCTTGGCCATAAGGGAACTGAGTAACTGTCATAAAAAAAGTAAAAAGAAATACATTTCATATTCTGTACACAGTGAGATCAAGTGAAGTAATTCACTTTAAAAAGTATTTGAGTTGTGTTGCAGCAGGTTGCATTCATATTAATATTTGACAGCCTGTCTGCCTACTATTAGATTATGTCCTCTCACTTCACTCAGGCCACCTGAGCTATCCTTGCCAGGTCAGTCAACCATATAGATATTCTACCCCCGCCCCTCGACCCCTTTCCATACTTACACACTCCCACACCTTCTGTTCCTGCCTCCCTGCTCCTCCCTTACGTTGTGCTGGCATGTTGAGAGGCCTCCTAACAGGCTGTAGCTGTAGCTGATCAGGGTGGTGGGCATCGCCACTCTCAGTCCCACTGACCGCCTCAGCCCAGTGGCCAGAGGCCAGTGAAGCTGGTCCCCAATCAGTCTCTCAGCCACATATTTAGAGTTTGTGGGATTAATGCCACAGCAATCCACCCCCCACCCTCACCCTGCACACTGCATCACTGCACACATTAGCGGAATTAAGGCGCCTGAGCGATGCTTCCCGGCTGGGTTCCCTGAAGAACAAGAGCAGCTGCGTGGGGTTCAGCAGCCACTGCTCTGACGTTCTTTTGTCTTTCCATCGCTATCTGTTTCCGTCCCTCGCCTCCTCCGCCGTGCCGCTCTGTGTCTCACCACCTCTGGGCCTGTGTGCTGCACTAGTGGGAGCCAGGGTCCTCAACAAGTCAGTGCGACTGGATCCTAACAGCTGGAGCGCACTAACTCTCAGCGGACACACACAGACTGTGGAAAACATAATTCAACTCAAGCAAATACACTTTTTTCTTTCGATCTGTTTTACACCTTTTTTTTGTAGCTTCTACAAACGGTTTTATGTTTCAGAAAGAGTCAGAACAAGGTGAATTTTAATGAAATAATGTGTTCTTCGCAACAGAGAGCATACGCTGTTCCTGAAACAGAGTCTTTTATTTGTGCAGTACATTGCAAACCTGAGGAATTTGCACATTCTTTGAGTAAGTTGTGTTTTTCGAGGCCACACCAAAGCACAGAGCAGCGTTTTAGGGACAGGACCTCAAAGTACAATAAATTGAATATCAAACATATTCATTCAAGTTAAATTCACCCATTACTAATAATTCTGCTCTGAATTATGCTTTTTCTTTATTACAATATGTTGTATTTTAAAGCCTAACCTACAAAGAAGGGTTTTCTATGTTAGTATATCTGTGCTGCTACCTGTGATCCACGTTGGTGGGAATCGAGCTGGACAGTCGCTTCCTACAGCTTCCCCTTTGCCCCTTTAAATTACCTGTCACCTCTGCTGCCACCCAATTGTTCCACACCGGTCGGCCAAATTGGTATGGAAGCGGGCAGCCATTGTTGCGGCAAAAAAGGTGGTCGTTGTCTGTCGAGGAGCTTGTGAAATTGCATTTCAGTATGAAGGCCATCTTTTCGGTAGCTGCCGCTGTTGTATGGTTTCTCCCATAGACCCAACGCACAAAAGAGCCCCGGCAAGGATCTTTTTTTTTTAAGAATCTATAATAATTTTGTACAACAACAGCTCAGGGTAGAAAGAAAGTCGATTAACTGTGCTCTCTCACCATCAAGGCTTTCAGCTCAAGTGCCAGAGTCCCAGTAAAAAGCGAGTTGACCTCAGGGAGCTAGGATCCAGCTTGTTACACAGACAGCTGGGGAGGCTTTGTGGAGCAAATTAAAATGTTGGTTCTGAATAGGCACCAAAGACTTTTTGTCATTGAACTCTGTCAATTCGGTGTTGTTTTATGGTAGCGATTGTTATTGGTACTGTATCATTATATAACAAAACTGTGTATCTTAATTTTGAATTTAATTTCACAGCTAAAACATTCTGTTACGTAAATCTTGACTGTTAGGCAGTATTGTATGTCTATTTTAAAAGTGAAGTATTAACCAGTGTCTATCACCTAATATTGTCTGGATGTTCTAGCTTTTGTGCCCTTTCCTTGAGATTTGAAAAATGCTGACAGACTTGCACATTCTTTGTATTATTTATTAACGCAAGGATTATGGAGCTATATCAGGGTCATAAGTTTTGATCATTCAAAAAAATACAATTTATTTGAAAGTTCAAGTTTTTAACCTGAACTTTGAAAAATACAATGATGTATTCAAAATAAAAATAAGTATTTGAAATAATTTTCTACCAAAGAGTAGTTTGGCATCCTGAGTGACAGCCCTCCCTCTGTCATGTTGCCTTCATGGATGGAAGGTAGCGCAATAAATATAACTCAACACTTTCTATACACAATACTCCCGTGATTGGTGGTAAACAAAACTGATACCAGCGTCAAAGTTCCGTTAAAGGGGACCTATCATGCAAAATGCACTTTTGTACGTCTTTTATACATGAATATGTGTCCCCGGTGTTCCAGGGAACTCACCAAGTGTCAGAAAACACAACCCTCTCTATTTTCCTCCATACCCAAATCTCTAAAAACGGGACTGCAACGGATCTGATAAAAACTGATCCAGATTTGAACACGTTACTGACGTCAGGACGGTGGCGCTACGGCTATTGGGCCAACTCTCCACCTATCAGGGGAATGTGGGGTTGGGCCATGGCCGGCCATTGCCGCTCGAAAGCGCTGTATATGGCATATGTAGTACATATGCCAGGCCTGTAAGTGGCGCTGTAGTCTGCCACAAAAGCAGCGAAGAAGACTTCCCGCGCATGGTTGCCATGGTTTCCCTTCTGTTTATTCTCCGCTGTGGCTTTTTTTCTCCATCCCCGAGGCAAGCGTTTGCTCCCGCTGCTGTAATTCAATGCAATCCCTCCCCGTCGAGGCAAGCACTGTAATTCTCTCCGGTTAGTCCACCAGCAGATGACAAACACCCACCTCTCCGCCTCTTCCAAGGAACGAGGGGACCGTGCGGCAGAGTTTCAGTTAGGTTTTCTTTCGCCGGTCAAGATGTCCGTTAAAGTTTAAATCTTCCGGACAAAATTAGAAAAGTGCCGGTCAAAGGTCTTCTTTGTTATTTATTGAGCTTTAAAACAAATGAATAACGACTCTATATAATAATATAATAAAACACGGAGGACGGAGATCTATCTTTCTCCCCCTCTTCTGACTTGATCAGAGCACGCTCCCCTCTCCTGCAGGGGGGCGTGGTCAGCTGTAGCCCCCTGCAAAAACATGGCTGGAGAACAGCAAATAGAGCGAAATGAGGCATGGCTAAAATGCATGATCTGTTTGGTATTTTGAAAACAGAAACCTATAAATATACCTTATATAGGTATGGCCCTACAATATATCATTTAAATATAGCATGATAGGTGTCCTTTAAGCGAGCTGTTGAGCATCGTAGTTGGCAACAATCGCGGTATAAGAGCAATAAACTGCTGGGATGTGAAATTACATATCCGCAATTAAGCGTTGTCCTTCCCCACTTCCACATAGCTCCGTGAACGCAGCATAGTTTTGGCTTGGCTTTTGCGATCAGAATCAGAATAGAGAGGCGAAGTCCCTCCTTTTCCGGTGGAACTCCATGGGACCTTATTTCGGAAAAATTATGTATTGAAGTCAATGGCGAGAGAAAGATTATCTTTCGATCCCGTTTGAATTGTGCCACAAATTACACATATGATGTTTGTCAATTTAAAAGATAATTTTGCAAGTAAAAAGAAAAAAAAAATGCCGTAAAACTGTGAAGTAACACTTTTTTTTTGTGTGAAACCGCTCAATGAACTACATCTCTGGTCTCGCACAACACACGTCACCAACATCAAGATGGCCGTTAGTGGATTGTCCGACCGGCCCACTTCGGTACCGGCCCACCGGGAAAACTCCCGGTATTCCCAATGGCCAGTCCGCCCCTGACTCCTAGTCCTTTCATCAGACGGGAAGCGAAAGCACGAGCAAGACCCATTGCTGGTATCAGGGCCATTTCTTCCTATAGGCGGACTATGCAGATGCATAGGGCCCCCGCGGCCACTAGGGGGCCCCCAAGCTGAAAGTAATTTTTTTTTTAAAATGTTGTATTCATCCAAAAAACAAAAAAAGTATAATTCATACACACAAAGATGAACAAAATTAGTAGAAGCGGGCATTATTGCGTCAA